AATAATATAATATAATAATATAATATAAAATCTAAACTAAATAATGTTTTGAAATATAATAATATTCCAAAATATAATTAAAATTTAAGTTAATAAATACAGTTCTGTCTTCAGAAAGTTTATTTTATAAGAGAGGATAATGTCAATGTGAATCTGTCGATTGTTAGTATCAATTAGCACTAATTGACCATTGTTTGTTGTTTTTAGACTGATGCATATGCAGTGTAATGTTTGCATTTCACAGCAAGTTGTATTCTGTATATAACTGTATGTAACGAATAAACTTAAATCTTGAGTCAATGCTTAACTAGTGCTTAATGTAAATGTAAATCATTGCACCGCTAATAGTGATGATTCACTACAAATCAAAGACATTTAGAGATAACAATATGATTTTGTGTTCGAATTGGTAAACGTGATGGAAATGTTGTTGTGTTTAGGTATTAGAGCGTTTAAAGCTCTTTTTTTTCTTTTAGTGAAAATGTTCATTTTACAGTACAAAATTAAATCAGAATGTCTTTTCTCTTTGAAAACTGTGGGTGTTTTCTTCCTTCCCTCCCGTCTTCCTCTCTGCCTCTTTCAAGTTTTAGTTTTGGTGACATACCAAAAAGTGTACATGTGTACAAAATAAATGAATTCAGCAAGATGTGCAATAAAGTAAAATAACAGTAGTGCATATGAACAAACACCGTGAAATAGTAGTGCATAAAGAATGAAATGATTTGCGTGTCTCTTTCAGGAACTCCTATACCGGGTGGAAGGAAGTTGGAGTTGACGCGAGAGAACTTGACTGCTTTCTTCTCAAATCATGGTACTCCGAAGCAGAAGACTCAGCCTCCCTCTGTGTTCAGTCGTGGCAGTAACCAGACCAGCGGCGGCAGAGGACCAGGTAAAAAAAAAACACATAAACACACACAAACAACTTAAAGGTGACATATCATGAAAATCTGACTTTTCCAGGTTTTAAGTGCTATAATCAGGTCCCCAGTGCATCTAACAACCAAGGAAACGTGAAAAAGATTAACCCAGTAACTTTGTTTAGGTAAGCCTTTTTCTGCAAGCGTCTGAGAAAACGAGCGCGTCAGATTTCGCTCCCTTGGTGACGTGGCAAAGGGATCTCATTATAATACTACCGGCCCTTAATCTGTCAGTTTCCACCCACGGTGCCGTCATCATTTTGATTTTGCAAGCGACGACGGTGTACTAGTTCTAATGCCATGGCAAAAGTTTGAGCAAAACATGCTAACTGTTCTGTCTTTGGCTGCACAGACGAGCACAGAACACTGTTTAGAGTCCCAGCCTCAGAGGACACAAGAAAGCAGTGGATTTCTTGATTTATTTACTGTATATTGCTGCTGCCACACACATCTAAAATAAACATGCAATTTATTTCCCAGCTGTTTACCTTCACAGACATAACCGACTGTCTTTGTAACTCATGTGTGTTTTTAACGTAAACTTGTGTGTGAATGAGAACTTAGTTTAGTGCTCACATGCTGTGACAGCCGCTTTCTCTGCGTGTGCTTCGGATGTGTGCGCTCAGAAAACCGTATATCAGAAGTTTAAACTCGTATGGTTTAAAACGCATGATTTCAGAGCGATAAACATGATAATCAGAACCAAAACAGATGTTTTTAGCAAGTACGAGCTGTAATGGCGCAGCTCTATTCTGGAAAAGGGGGCGGGGAGCAGCAGCTCATTTGCATTTAAAGACACAGGCCCGAAAAACAGCGTGTTTCTGCTTCCACTCAAAATAAGCATTTTCAAAATGATATAATAAATGATCTGTGGAGTATTTTGAGCTGAAACTT